ATTATTATTTTGAGTAGTAATTTTGTTTAATAATTAAGTTGATTATTTGTTTATTATTGTGTTTAATTTTAAATTATCTAAATTTATTTTAAAAGGGAGTTAAAGTGTGTTATAGATTTGGTTACATAATTAGTTGGATAATGTTATTTAGATTATGATTAATATATTTGTAACCCTGTGAACAGCTCTGGGAAGTGGGAGGGGTGGGGGGTTTTGGGGGATGGGGAAGGGGGTTTATTTTGTAAATGTTATAAAACTTTTAATAATAATAAAAAAAGAGGGGTGGACTTCAACTGCCAGAATCCCCCAGCCAGTAAGCTTTAGGACAGGTGGACTTCAACTCCCAGAATCCCCCAGCCAGTAAGCTTTAAAATGGGTGGACTTCAACTCCCAGAATCCCCCAGCCAGTAAGCTTTAGGACAGGTGGACTTCAACTCCCAGAATCCCCCAGCCAGTAAGCTTTAGGACAGGTGGACTTCAACTCCCAGAATCCCCCAGCCAGCTTCCTTTAAGAGGAGTGGACTTCGACTCCCAGAATCCCCCAGCCAGCACACTCCGCCCCACCCTGGCCTCACAGTCTGGGCACTTGGGGAGCTAAGATGCCCCTTTCTTTGGACAGATGCTGGAGAGCATGATCAAAAAGCCTCGTCCCACCAGGGCGGAAAGCAGCGACGTGGCCAACGCCGTCCTAGATGGGGCCGACTGCATTATGCTGTCCGGGGAGACAGCCAAGGGGGCCTACGTGGTGGAGGCTGTGCGCATGCAGCATGCGGTAAGGCGGCCCTTCCCTTTGGGAAGCGGAAGCTCACTGACCTGGGCATGGCGGAAGAGGAAGAAGGGAGGAGGAGGGAAGAGGGAAAGGAGCCAGGAGCCTAGCAAACCAGGAATCTGAGAAGCAAAAAGGGTCCGGGCAGAAGAGGAAGAATGGAGGAGGAGGGTAGAGGAAAATTAACCTTTTTTCTACGTTTCCCCCCCCCTCTCCTTAACGCACAGATCGCCCGAGAGGCCGAAGCCGCCATGTATCACCACCAGCTCTTCCAGGAGTTGCGGCGCCTGACGCCCTTAAGCCAAGATCCGACCGAGGTGACCGCCATCGGTGCTGTGGAGGCCTCCTTCAAATGTTGCGCGGCGGCCATCCTTGTCCTCACCTCCACCGGCAGGTGAGAAGAGGGGGGGGGAGCCTAAGAGAGGGGTCTCCTGTTTGTTGCCCAAGGGAGATAGGGCTCTCCTGACTTGTTGGCGGTAAGGAGCAAAGCCCCGGGTTCGAATTTCCCACACAAATTTGGTGGGTGGGGGCGATTCTGTTTCTCTTTCACTCTGGATCTTCCCTCTCCCCCCCCTCCCAAATCCAGGTCTGCGCAGATCCTCTCCCGCTACCGGCCTCGGGCTCTCATTATCGCCGTGACCCAGGACGAACAGGTGGCCCGCCAAGCTCACCTCAGCCGCAGCATTTTCCCGGTCGTGTGGCACGGCGCTAAGCAGGACACCTGGGCGGATGATGTCGATCGCCGGGTGCAGTTTGGGATCGAGATGGGTGAGTGTCTGGAATTTGTTTCTGGAATCTCTCTCTCTCTCTCTCTCTCTCTGTCTCTCTCTCCCTCCCTCCCTTTATTCTATCCATCTGTCTGCTATCTGTCTGTCTGTCTGTCTCTCTCTCATCCCTTTTCCTGCCTCCCTTATATATCTATTCCTTCCT